ATGCTGCTGAATTATTTCATGCTGCTGATTTATTTCATGCTGCTGATATATTTCAAGCTGCTGATTTATTTCATGCTGCTGATTTGTTCCATGCTGCTGATTTGTTCCATGCTGCTGATTTGTTCCATGCTGCTGAATTATTTCAAGCTGCTGATTTATTTCAAGCTGCTGATTTATTTCATGCTGCTGTGTTCATTCGTACTCATCTGCTCACACAGACTCATGTTCGTGCTGCTGTTGTTCGGCGTATTGTTTTTGTTATCAAGTGTTTTGTATATTCTTAGTTCATATCTTAGATCTTATTACTGTATTTCTTTTACAATTTATGCCTTTGTTGGATGTAACTGGGACTCTGTGCACATAATTTATTTCCACCTCATGTAACACGTGGTGAAATGACAAATTCTTACATTCATGAAAAAGACAGCAGAGTGAAGCACATTTCAAAAACTGTCAGTTTATGCTAGAAAGCCTCTGTTTTGAAGCGAGACTAAAGAAAACCCCATGAGTGAAGTTCATGTGTGTGCAGACTCACCATCACTCTCTCCATCTGCGTTCTAAAGGGGTAAAGCAGCTCAAACAGGATCAAGCCCAGAGAATAAATGTCCACTTTATGAGAATACGAGTTTCCAGAGAGCTGCAAAAGCCACAACACAGAAAGAGTCACTGCAGGTCACACTTGTTAACGTCTCCAATGTTCCCTGCAACGTGTGCTCACCTGCTCTGGACTCATGTAGAGCTTGGTGCCGACCTGGCCTGTGTGCCGGGTCAGGAGCGGGTCAGGCGTCAGAGCACTTGGACCATCTTCATCTTCCTCCTGGTCCATGGCTGTGACCAGGCCAAAGTCACCCACTTTTACCACGTCGTCCATGGTGAAGAAGATGTTGGAAGGCTGGAGGGACCCAACGTGGACATTTAAAAAAGGATTCATCAACTTGTTCAGTCACCGAGCTTCACCAGACACACGTTTTGTTAGCCTGCGCTCAGGTTTCAACATGCTCTGTCCCATCAGGTCCTGGGCCGGGTCTGAAGTGTCAGGAACTGATGGAGTAAAAAATGCTTTGGGGCCTAATGATGGAAAGTGACGTCGTCTTCTTCTTCTTCTTTAAAATTTGCATAAAATAATATAAAAGCTGTCGATTTTAAAAAATGAAGTGCTGAGGGTTTTTTAAGACTAAAAGGTCCAATTAAAAATTAAAAGTTATGTTTTTTTTATCATCTAAATTTGATATTTTTATTTCAGGTTGAACTAGCTCTAAAAGATAGATTAGATTACTCTAATTAAAGTAAATAAATAAAATATAACTTTTAAGCAGTTATGGTCAGTTTTCCCCCCAAGAATCACTGAAGTCAAAGTTAAAGGACGTTCTGGGGGTAAATGACACACACAGTGAACATAAACGTACAATGTACCAGTTTTTGAGTTAAACAGATTCAACATGGCTGCCACAGCTAACCAAAATATAGCTTACCTACATTTACAGATAATGAGCTAAACCATGATGGGGCATTAGCTGAGTTGTTCACAACACGTACCGTATTCTCCACCGTACACGTCGCACCGCCCTATAAGTTGCGTCAGTTCAAATATGTCTAATAAAGTGGAAAAATCCATAAACATGTCACTTCACCATATACGCCGCACGTGTATGAATAAAGGTCGGATTAATCTATTGTGTCACCGCTGACGCGTCGCGTTTGTTACGCATCACCACTGGCAACCTGAAAATGTGGACTGGTGTTGTGCCAACAATCAACTGGCTGCCCAATGACAGCTGTGGGAGCGTGCACGGGAGGACTTGAACAAGAGTTTAACAAGATTAACACTTCAAACCAATTATTTGTTTGTTCAAAATTATATCAAAGGTGTGTCTCAGTTGAACTTTCCTTAATAAATGCACTTTGATGGTCCTATCAGCTGCATTTCAAAAGCCAATACACAGAAGTAGGCGCGTGCACGGGAGGACTCACTGTGCATTTCTTCTAAATTCAACAAGATAAGCACCTAAAAACAATTATTTGTTTGCTCGACATTATAGTAAAGGTGTTTCAGTCTAACTTTTACTTAATAAATGCTTTTTAATGGTTAAATTAGCTGCATTTTACTGGACGGAGCAGATTGAAGATGATTTGACGGTTGCTCCAGGCGAGCTGGACGAAGGTGGCAGGCTATGGCAAGCAAATTGTGTCATTAATAGCCACTTTTACCTATTACATGACAACAGCATGCCACACTACTCGAGTGCCATCTAGTGGCTGAAAATGGTAGTGTTCAATATTTTCAGTCTGAATGAATGAAAACAGTCATATCTCAGGCAAAAACTGGTTTATGAAAATGGGAAAATATCCATAAATAAGTCGCTTCGGTGTACAAGTCATGCAAATCATGCAAAAAAACGTTGGTTACGTACTGTAACCCCAGATTCTATGAATATAGGCGTAGCCCTTTAAGGCTGTCGCTTAGTGGGTTTATCCCGTTATGCGCAAGCATCATACTGAAAAAATTAGTCCACGCCCACCTGCTGTGTGGGCCCCACCCGATCCGTATAAATTACATTAAGAGCGGGTAATCTGCTCCCAAATAGCTTAATCTTTTTCTTCAGCTATTCAGGAACCAGTGAGGCCCGACGCTTAAAGGGCTACGCCTATATTCATAGAATCTGGGGTTACAGTACGTAACCAACGTTCTATTTCATATAGGCTTCGCCCTTTAAGGCTGTCGCTTAGTGGGTTAAGGGCGAAGCGGATGTGGTCCTCGCCTCACTGG